AAAAAAAAAAAAAGTCTTCTGGGTTTTGTGACTATAGGTATAGATAAAAACAGTACTTAGTAGCTGTTACATAAATAGTCAAAAGAAAATGATTACAAGATAATCTTTTATTTGTTTGTTTTAGAGACAGAGTCTCACTTTATCGCCCTTAGTGGAGTGCCTGCCACAACACTCGGCTATTTTTTGTTGCAGTTTGGCCGGGGCCAGGTTCAAACCTGCCACCCTTGGTATATGTGGCCATTACCCTACCCACTGAGCCACAGGCACTGCCCTGATAATCTTTTTTTCTCTAAAAGACAGGGTCTTGCCCTACTGTCCAGGCTGGAGTACAGTAACATAATCATATCTCACTACAGCCTTGAACTCCTGGGCTCAAGTGGTCCTTCTGCCTCAGCCTCCTTAGTAGGTGGGACTACAGATATATACTACCACACTCAGTTAATTTTTCTTATATTTTGTAGGACAAGGTATCAACTATGTTGCCCAGGCTGTTTTTGAACTCCTGGCCTTAAGCAATCCTTCTGCCTCGGCCTTCCAAAATGTTGGGATTACAGGCATGAGCTACGGCACCCAGCTGATTATAAGATAGTCTTGTGGAAGTTGTGGAGGGTAATGGCTCTTGATAAGTAGTACAGTTCTGATACTGTGAATCTATAAACCTGGTATTATTTGTTTATTTATTTTTTAGAGACAGAGTCTTAGTATGTCACCCTCGGTAGAGTGCCATGGCATCACAGCTCACAGCAACCTCAACTCTTGGGCTTAAGTGATTCTTTTCCCTCAGTCTCCCAAATATCTGGGACTATAGGTGCCCATCACAACACCTGGCTATTTTTTGGTTGTATTTGTCATTGTTGTTTGGCAGGCCTGGGTTGGGTTTGAACCCGCCAGCTCCCATGTATGTGGCTGGTACCCTAACTGCTGAGCCATAAACCTGATACTTAATGAACTGAAATATTTCCCAAGTTAAAGGGGTTCTGTGAAATGTAGTGCATTATCTCCCAAGTTCTTAAAATTATGTTTTGTTATTCCCTACTCAGAAGCTGAATTTGGAGAAACGTCACTTAAAGTAATGTATGTGATGGTTAAATTTATGTTTCCAGAGACATACTTTTCACCACAACTCTCACAACTGTGAGAAATAAAATAGAGAGGTGAGCTCCAGGGCCCCTGAAGAGCTTTGTGATCACTTTTCTCTGTATTCCAGACTTGACATTGGGAACTTTGGATACCAAACTGAGAAACCTAAATGCAGTGGCAGTAGTGGGCAAGGGGGGCATAGTTACCATATTGGACAGCAGAGGAAAAGCAGCACTCAGAGTAGTCTAATTTTCACAGACTTTGGCATTGATTGTTCCTAGAAGTAAAATAGATAAGACACCCACTAAATTCTTGCTTGATTTATATAAGAGAAAAGTTCTAGGTCAAGTGAACAGAAGTCTAACCTGAGTTATTCACAGCCCCTCATTTAGTTCCCAGACTTCAGTCAGTTTACAGACCCAAAACTTCTTCTTTTTTTTTTTTGAGACAGAGCCTCAAGCTCTCCCCCTGGGTAGAGTGCCGTGGCATTACAGCTCACAGCAACCTCCAACTCCTGGGCTCAAGCGAGTCTCCTGCCTCTGCCTCCCAAGTAGCTGGGACCACAGGCGCCCCGCCACAACGCCCGGCTATTTTTTGGTTGCAGCCGTCATTGTTGTTTAGCGGTTTGGGCTGGATTCGAACTGGCCACCTTAGGTGTACGTGGCTGGTGCCTTAGCCAGTTGAGCTATAAGCACCGAGCCTACCCAGAACTTCTTGAGTGAAGGAAAGAGTGGATCTCTTTGAGGAAGCATCCTGGTACAGTGCTACAACTGTATACCATTAATCTTTCCCCCAATCTCTGCAAAGGGACCTGTGGTATTTTAACAGGGTACCTGCACTGACAAAGAGAAAAATAATCACATCTTTTGGGGATGATTGGATCCTGACTGTGAGCCAATAGTAATTCCAGGAGATCCAAAACGTCACTGTGATCTACCAGTCAGAGTAGGAATTTATGGAAGTCAGGAGATCAGCATGTTTTAGCTCAGATCCATCTGACACTGGGTCCCTGGACCTATCCTGTGGTTATTTCCCCATTTCCAGATGCACAATTGCAAGAGACATACTTAGCAGCTGCCAGAATCTCTATACACCTGTAATCCCAGCACTCTGGGAGGCAGAGGAGAGAGGATCTCTTGAGCTCAAGAGTTTGAGACCAGGCTGAGCAAGAACAAGACTCTCCTCTTTACTAAACACAGAAAAATTAGCTGGGAATTATGGTGGGCATCAGTAGGTTCAGCTAGTTTGCTGAAGCAGGGGATCACTTGAACCCAAGAGTTTGAGGTTGTTATGAGCTAGGTAGATGCCATGGCACTCTATCCTGGGGCAACAGAGTGAGACTCCGTCAAAAATAAAGTTATATATATAAAGTAAAATAATAGTAAAATAAAAAATAAGTATCAACATAAGGAGTAGGGGTGACCCTTAAAGACTTGTTTATCTGTAGAACTATGACCAAGGGCTGAGAATGAAAGAATACATTACATATGGACTGTAAATGATCAGACAGTATAAATACAGTGCAAGCATTTGAAAAAGTGGGGTAAATAAGAAGAGCATATGCAAAAATGTTTTAATATTTTCAGTAATTCTGATAGAATTGTTGGTCGAAATAGTATTGTTATTCTTAGACTGTTGTGTGTGTGACATAGGATAAAACAGATGAGTAATATGGGATATCCTCATTTTGATTCAGTGAGAACCTTAAGATTCTCAGTATAGCTGGGTGCGGTGGCTCATGCTTGTAATCCTAGCACTCTGGGAGGCCGAGGCAGGTGGATTGCTTGAGCTCACAAATTTGAGACCAGCCTGAGCAAAAAGCGAGACCCTATCTCTACTAAAAATAGAAAAAACTGAGACAAGAGGATTGCTTGAGCCCAAGAGTTGGAGGTTGCCGTGAGCTATGAATTCCACAGCACGCTACCTAGAGCAACAGCTTGAGATTCTGTCTCAAAAAAAAAAAAAAAAAAAGGGCAGCACTTGTGGCTCAGTGGGTAGGGTACCGGCCCCATGTATCAAGGATGGCGGGTTTGAACCCGGCCCTAGCCAAACTGCAACAAAAAATAGCCGGGGGTTGTGTAGTGTTAGCTACTCAGGAAGCTGAGGCAAGAGAATCACCTAACCCCAGGAGTTGGAGGTTGCTGTGAGCTGTGGCAGCATGGCACTCTACCACTCTACAAGGGCGATAAAGTGAGATTCTGTCTCAAAAAAAAGATTCTCAGTATGAAAAAGATAAAAATGTAATAGAAAAGAGTCTGAAGTCTTGAATTGAAATTGGAATTCCAATTATCAAAAACTGTAAAGGGGGTGGTACCTGTGGTTCAAAGAAGTAGGGCGCCGGCCCCATATGCTGAAGGTGGCGGGTTCAAACCCAGCCCCGGCCAAAAACTGCAAACAAAACAAAACAAAACAAAAACTGTAAAGGGTTTGAGATTTTTTTTCCTGCTTGGAAGCTAACAAGTTAGCCTTCCACAGTTTCATGAGTCAAAGATGTGGAATAGTTTATTACATACAGGAGTAGCAACAGCCAGCATATCAGCATTTTTGTGCTGGTTCCCTGAGCCCAAAGTCCCACAGTACCACAAACTATGGACAGATGATACCTGTCCATGTATTGGATTGCATTATAGGAAAGGAATGCTGAGCTTAGGGAATTTGAGTCATTTTTAATGGGCAGTAAAGGTGCCTACCAGTTGCTGTATAAGGAGACACTGTATCTTCCAAGGCTGTAAGCAAAACTGTACTGTGTTCTGGAGTGATACATTATCTGTAACACTTTTCACTGTACAAACACTCCTAAAAAGACAGATATTCTGGAACAAATTGGTAGGCAATACCTTATTTTCAAGATGTACAGAAACACAAGAGACCCATGGAGGACTGTCTCCCAACATGAATATGAACTTATGAGGTGTTTCCTATCTCTGTCCACTGTGAAGGCATAAAAATAATAACCAATCTAATAGCAGTGGACATCCCTAACAGCCATATTATGATCTTGAAATATTATTTTTCTTTCAAGGAACTAAGGCTTCTTGAAGAACTGGATAGTTTCACATTTAGGGCAAAAAATGTTCAAGATAATATTACAATATTTTGTTATATCATAGTAAGCGCATGTCAGAAGAACTCAGAATTTAACTTGAAGAGGCTCCCATTGACCAAAGGTGGGACAACCTGAGCTTCCATAATAATAATTGCAATTGATTTAAATGTGCTAGATGTTTTTAAATCCTTGCATTCATAATAATACTTTAAATTTTAAATTGTCAACTTCAGAGGATTAAAAGGAACCAGTTCAGTGTATTGCAAAAACAATATGTTAGTGTATTAGTAAAACTGGTAAAGGGACAGAATTAAGGATTTATCCTGCCTTTCCTATATAACTATATTACGGGGTGAACAAATAGTAGGCAAGGGGAGATATTTCTTTTTAAGTGTATTTTAACTAATAAATGAGAAAGAAATGATAGAATTAGGCTATCATTCTCTTATAAACCCAGAGATGCATTAAGCATCAAAGGCTATCAAAACCATAAAAAGAGAGACATCCAGATGTCATATACCTCCTGTAGTCTCCTGAGGAGCCCAACCTGGTGTCTGACCCATTCTCTGGATCCAGCTGCCAAATTGTAACCAATAATACAGAGAATAGCAGAACAGGTTGGATTGCAGCAAGATCACACTGTTGGAAGTTCAACAGGTGAACAGCCCAAGTTCCTCGTGTTACTTGTATACAAGTGTTACTTGTATACCATCCATCTGAGCTTGTAATTATTTACATTTTCTGATGTTTGGTTGATTCCTATATGTATGTGTGTATATATATTTTTAAATATATCTGTTCCTACTCCACAGATAAGCAAGAGGTAACTTTTAGTATAAAGTCCTGAAAACTCCCGACAGAGTTATTCAACATTATGAAATTATTCTGTTCTTGAGCATTCTTTATGTAGGATACCATATTGACCTAAGACTACACAAGATGGTTTAGTGCAGAAAACATCCAGTCTTCTTTTTGTTCTAATAGTATTTTTTTCTAATTAAAAAAAAATGAAACTTATTCATTATACAAAATTTGTAAATAAAAAAGTATTAAAAAGTCTACTGAGAGATAACTGTAGATAGTATTTTGAGACCTTCCCTTTTATATACGAACCCATTTACATTGGGATCATACAGTTTGGTACTTAGTTTACGTTCTCATCTCAAGCTCTGTACTCACATTCAGACCTGAGATTAAGGATTTAGGGTCTTGATACCTTTCAAAGTAGAATCCATTAACATCTTGGACTTCTTTCCACAGGTGGACTTCATCATGCAGCAGCCCGAATTTCCGGGGACAATGTCTATAAGCATTTGAAGTATGAAGGTGGGATTCACCGAGTGCAGCGAATCCCTGAGGTGGGCCTGTCCTCAAGGATGCAGCGTATTCACACAGGAACAATGTCAGTTATTGTCCTTCCTCAACCCGACGAGGTAACCTGTCCAGGAGACACAGAACACTTATTCTGCGTAAATGGGTATTGTGCTAAAAGCCTTAGCTTCCTGGAAAATCTGTTTTTTTCATGGTTACAGATTGGACTAAGTAGTCTCTAATGGGAGATCTTTAACTCTTCCCCAGGTAAAGTTTCCCCTCGTAGGCCTGACCAAATATTGTTTTAAGTAGAAGTCACTTCTTTTCAAAAGGCAGAATGCATAGAGCTTTTTTAAATGTTGGTGCCCAAGTTTTATCTCAAGAAAAAAAAATGAATTCCACAGATAATATTTCAAGGTCGGTGATACAACATCTATCTGTATGGAGGCTGTATATCTTTTTAGATAAACATAGCCATCTTTCCTATATTTTTCTTTTCCCTGACCTTCTTATAAACATCCAGACAGTTGAAAGATACCCCAGTGAAAACTTGTATAACATCCATTTGAGCTTGTAATTATTTACATTTTCTCATGTTTGGCTGATTCCTACATTTATGTGTATGTATATATTTTTAAATGAACTGTAAAGGATATGGCGGACACCATGAGACTTTACCTTCCAATTCTTCTGTACATCTTCTAAGGATAAGGACATTCTTCCTCATAGGCACACTACCTTAATCTATGAAAATTAACCCCAATTGTGTAATATTATTTAATACCTAGTCCATTTAACAGTTTTCTCAGTCAAATCAAAAAAAAATTTTTTTTTTTTTTTTTTTTTGCAGTTTTTGGCTGGGCCTGGATTTGAACCCATCAGCTCCCGCATATGGGGCCGGCACCCTACTCCTTTGAGCCACAGGCACTGCCCCAAATCAAAATTTTTTTATAGCTATTTATAATTTAATCTTTTTTTAGACACAGTGTCTCTCTATATTGCCCCATTTGGCCTCCAACTTCTGGGCTCAGGCAATCCTTCTGCTTTAAGTCTCTCGAGAAGCTAGGACTCTAGGTGTATACCACCACATCCAGCTATAGCTATTTGTTCAAACCAGGATCCTGTCACATTTCACACATTGATTGTAATTAGCTGTTACATTTCTTTAAGTCTGGAATAGTGTCCCAACTTTTTAAAAAATGACATTGGCTTTTTGAAGAGTCTAGACCATTTGGTTTGTAGAATGTTCCACATTCTGGATTCCTCTGTTACCTCATGTCAGTCTTGAACTTGTTCCTTTATCCTCTGTATTATAGTGAAAATCATATCCAAATGTTCTATTTCATTCAGGTTACACCTTTTGAGCAAGAAGACTTCCTAGGTCCAGTTACAGTCATGTTGCATCTTATCAGAAGACACACAATGTGGGATTGTCCCACTTTTAGGGTGGCTTAGTTTGAGCATTTGGTTAAGATGGTGACCATAAAAGTATTTACATCATTCAAGTATATTTTTCCCTTTGTAAATAAATATTAAGTAGTCTGCAGAGAACATATATTCTCTTTCCAATCACCTTTCATCCATTGTTTTAACAGCTATTGGTGATCTTTGCTTGAGTCAGTTATGGAGTTTGGGGCTTGCAAGATACTGACTTTTCTTTTTATTTGGGGGGGGACAGAGTCTTACCTTATCACCCTTGGTAGAGTGCCGGTGGTGTCACAGCTCATAGCCACCTCCACCTCCTGGGCATAGGTGATTTGATTCTCTTGCCTCAGCCTCCAGAGTAGCTGGGACTATAGTCGCTTGCCACAAGGCCCATCTATTTTTGATTGCAGTTTGCCTGGGGCTGAGTTCAAACCTGCCACCCTTGGTATATGGGGCTGGCCCCCTACCCACTGACCCACAGGTGCTACCCAAGATACTGACTTTTCTATCATTCCTTCTACATTGATTAACTGGCATTCTTCTGTAAAGAACTTTTCTTTCTTTTTTTTTTTTTTGAGACGGAGCCTCAAGCTATCCCCCTGGGTAGAGTACCATGGCATCACAGC